TAGTCTTAGGGATCAGTGAGAAAAACAAAAGAAACAAAAACAAAACAAAATTAAAGAAAAGAAAAGGGCATTTGCATGTCTGTCATCTACATTTCTAGTTTAAATATATATAAAACATCAAAACTGAGCACGTTGCAATCAAAATCTTGATTTTTTTTGAACAGTGAACAGTGTCGGGACATGTTTGATGACCATTGTATCTATATCATATCTGTATATATAGCATTTATTATCTATGTTCCAATATTATTAATAAAATATGGTATATTGGTGGATGTTAAACCACACATTTGGTCAAATTTCAAATGGGTCCTCACTATTATTTTGATTACCACAATTAATAATATGTCTAACAATTTCATCAAGCCCTAGGCCAGGATCACCTGTCACTTGTCCTTATCCTATTCTCATCTGATCTCGACTCCCTCCCCTTCTCCTTTTTTTGAACAATCCTGGTTAGGTAGGTTTGGTGGTAATAACAAATTTGTGGTTGGATTCTTTGTTTATCTTGGCGTTACCAATAATAGTATTACTAAATTATAAACCATTCACATACGAATCCATGTTGCTTCTCAACTTGAATTATTGAATTTAATTGTAGAAATTTTTCTCTAACTTCTGTTCAACTTTTTAGCATGATGCAGAATCTATCATCACTTCAGGAGTTGATTATCCATGACTATCAAAAGCTATCGACAGGATTTAGTAAGAGCAGTTACTAACAAAATTGCAAAATTTTACACTAAAACTTTCAATTTTCTCTCACTTTTGTTGTATTTTGATAAATGTAGCAGTGATAATTATCAATTTGTTTAATCTACTCTACTATTTTTTTGTAACAACATCTTTAATATATAAATAATATCCTGTCGTCTTCGTCCAAAAAATTTTCAAATACATCAAGCAGATATAAATTTAAGTTGTTTCACAACTTTGAGTGTCATTTTCTTGATATTGAGAGGATAAAATTTGACAAGTAAATAAGAGACCGACAATCCATTTATGATGCGAGAAATGTAGAATTTACATTCTATCATTTCTTATTAGATCCAAAAAAAAAAAAAAAAATCCAAGAGCCAAACTAGATGAAATTTGAAGCACTAGATCCAATCTGAACTGGCTCGATTGTTACTTGTACCGCTTATCATTTTCTTAAGAGGGAAAAAGGGAATTAAGAATTGGTCAATGGGGCTTGGATCATGATATTGAACTATATATTTGGATCAAAGTAATATTGTAATGGCTGCAGCAAGCAGCTTTTGATCTGGATGTACATGGAAATTGGAGAGAAAGATCGATGCAAACAGCAAAGATAGTAAAATAACCCCTTTTTCACTGTCTGACGTTATATATTATATCTGTGAAGCCAGAAATTTTCCTTGGATCTGTATTTTTATATGGAGCACAGCATGTGCACGGATCAAGAGAGTGCCAGCAGTTGGCATCTTTTATTTATAAACAAATTGCTTTGTACATTGTACTTATATGTAGAGACGTTACTTTATCTTTATCATTGAGTAAAGTTGAGTTAATAAGTTTGATTTTCACTGTCAACAATCTCTTTAACAAGTGATCTGTAGATTCATTATAAGTTTTCGTTGAGATCTGTAGCATGATCTGATTCTGAAATAAAATACCTTCATCTAAATATTTTACGAGAAAATGTTACCTTTCCATTTTCCTCGTCAAACTATAAAATTTCTGTAAGAATCAATGGCAAGAATCTTAAACTTTTCTCGCACACTGGGAAAAGCTTGGCATCTCAAGGCTGGAAGAAAGAAATGAGGAGGACATTAATGTCCTTTGGGTTTGAATCAGAGGAGGGTACATGAAAGAAGAACTGTTAAAACAATGAAATATTTAGCAATACTTAACCTTGTATTGGTGTAACATTTGATCTAATTTTACAGATAAAAAATGCATGATTTCTTTATAATAAAACTTCATTTCCATTCTCAACTACTTTTTTTTTTTGGTTAGTCATGGATTGGTACATGAAATATTAACATTATCATGGACATTTTTTTTTTTTTGGTTCAAAAGAGGGCAACGCCCTATTATATGGAAAGGGAAAAGGGGTAGCTTGGTTCGAACCCAAATTTTAATATTTTTCTTAAAGTTTTTTTGATATTAGACCAAGAAGCGGAAGGCTATCATGGACATCTCATTTCATAAATCGGAAGATATTGAAAGTTGATTTTCCTTTTCTACGATGAAATATTAAATTATTAATACTTTCAACTGTAATTTACCTTGGAAAATCCTGTATGTCTCGTTAGAGTTCTGTTAGTCAAGACTCATGGTTTTATCTGCCGAACTATTTGATATAAGAAAACAACCAGTTAATTCTAAAACATTTCTAATTTATCTTAATTACATTTATCATTTGAGATTGTTTTCAGAGTAAAGACAGCCAACAATTTATAAATAAATCAAATATCAAAACTTTAATAATTTTTTGTGTTCTTGAAACAATAATTACAATAATTATCCATTACTTTAAATATCTTTCCTTTACTTTTACATGTTGTTGAGATATTTTGGATTTGGGGAGAGTAAGACTTGCTGGAAACTGAGTTGGTGAACTTACTGAACCTGTCAAGGAGAAAAATGTGAGGAAGCGCCGGAATAAAAAATTCGGAGTACGATTCGATGCTCAAATTAGTGGAGCATCTAAGAGACAAGGAAAAAGCAGGTTAAGTAATAGAGAGAAGGAGAACAGTAAATGGAGAAAAAAAAAGTAGTAGCTAGTAAATAATTTCACAAAGGGAGGTTAGAATTGAATGAAGTGTGAGTGTAACAACTAGCAACCTAACGCTTCTTTAACCACTTGAAAGGACGTATGGTATATAAGAAAGAGTAATTAACAAAGATGTGGAGCCTTGGCCATACTGTTTGAGTGACAGAAAGATGGGGATCATGTATTTGAACAAGACAAACCACATCCCTTTCATGTGCCAAGAAAAAATATACATGCATGGAAATTATAACACTCCGATTCTAACTTATTGCAAGAGTTAAGAGTACCTATCGACCACCCCACCCCCCCTTTTTTTTTTGTTTTTTCTGACACTGTTACCTGGTGAAATTTCTTACAACTAGGAAGTTTTTTCTCAGGATTATTAAAACTATGCATTGATGTTTTGCATTGACTACCTAAAATAATGTAATTGATTTCATATATATTAGTTGATATGAGTTGTTTATCCTATTAATTTCTATAGTTATTCAAACATTCTTATATTTTGGACAGGTTTCAATAACCGGATCAGACTGATTAACGATTTTAAAAGCTTGTTCAGCGGTTCAACCAGATTCACATATAAAATTTCTTATTTAAAACCCCGCCTGTAAGCATGCAAGAGTTACCCATTATCTTATGGTACCGAATAAACATTCAACCTTGTGAATAATTGGTGAATAATTGAAAGAGGGTGTCAGTTGAGTCATCCTACCGACAGCATCATATCCTGCCTTGTTAAATCTTTGCTTGTTTATGGCTCTGAAGACATTTTTGTTTATCAATCACATGGGGGATGGCAGGGAAGTGACAAATCTCTAATGCTGAATATCATATTTGCAAAACCAACATTGCAAAACATAAACCAGGGAGTGTAGACAAAGTTGAGGTGATTGAAAGTTTGATAAGATGCATGGGCTTTCTTTTCTCTTTATCTTGACCCTATTTGTACCTGCCAGGGACCAACTTGTTTGTTAGCCACAGGGGAATGAATGTTTGATTGCATCTTCTTGTAAATAATTTACATGGCGTTTCGTTATGTGTCCGGACAGGTTTTTTCTGTGTTTGATTTGTGGGGAAGACGTCTCAAGTTCATTTGTGAAAATTTAGGGACTTTGGAATTCGGCACTTACTCGTACTTTTTCTTTTTATAATATAAAGAAGGTAGAAATCGTATAGGACATATATTTTAAACATATATATATTATTTATCAATAAATCAAATGTTGTGTTGAATTCGAAAATTAATTTTTTTAGTTGTTTGAGATTTAAATTCAAACACTAATTCTTTTTCTTATATCCAATTATGCACCTTTTATACCAAATTCAAAAGTTGGATTTCATTTTCTTTCAGTCATAGATTTCATTTTGGATACAATATTTCTTGGACACTTCACAGGCTGGACTTTATCTTGGTCCATACTGAAGAGGCTCCTTTTAATTTTAGTGGTAGGAAGCCCAAAAATTGTTTGGGGTGAGATGAGAAATTCTAAGGTTTCCTCTCTCATGGTCCATTATGAACTAAGGCTTCTTTTTAAGGGCCTAGGAGCCACAATTGCTCTGCTTCATTTAGAATGACCGAAGGACATTGGAGAGTAACGCTTCAATGGGAGGCCCAAAGATCCTTGGACAACATTACTAAGTTGGGGACATTTTCATTTATTTGTCAACTGTTCCATAATGCCTAAAATGTAAATGAAAAGTGTGATATTATGAGGTATACGAAAAATGGATATTTTATGACTATCATTTCTAAGTAGTGATATTTTTTATTAATTCATTTTTCAATTCAATAATTTTCCATCGAAGTATCTTGATCTAGTTTGCTTTCTTATTATTAGATCTATGCTACTATCTGAGAGGTTTCAGCTATTAAATATATAAATAAAATATTGTTGATATATGAATTATAGAATTTTTCAACATAAAGAAAAAAAATAAAAAAAATGATATTTTAGTTAAAGAAGGTGGTCCATGAGAAAATAATTTCTTTGTAATTTAATATTTCGAAGTGCTTTTTTTTTTTCCTTTTTTTTGAAAATGACTATTGCCTACTTTTTTTTTTTTTTTTGAAAATGACTATTGCCTAACAAAATTATGGAAATTGATATCCAGTTAATAGAGTATTACAGAACTTAAATATATATTTTAAAAATTTTAATAATCTGTTAAATTCATTTATATGGAAAAAACAGAAACAATAGAATGAGTATTAAAAAGGCTAGATAACAAATAAAGCAAAAAATCCAATGCCATAAACTTCAAAATTAAAACACAAACATGTATTAATCACTAGGATGCCAATTGGTTATATGGTTAATTTCACAATTAACAAACTAAAGCCTTCGAGAGAAAAATAGGGAAAATTTTTTCTACTACAAAATACAAGAATTATGTGGAAAGCCCTAGGGCTCTCCCAGAAAACTTGTTTGATTTTCTTTTTTTTTTTAAATCATGTACACACCCTCGTAAACACGTGATTACAGATTACCCGTACGCATGCCATGCTAAAATAATCTAAGTTCTACATTGCATAAAATCCAACTTCCACCGTCCGATCGCCAGCTATAATTCCCCAAAGTCCTCACTTAACAGCAATCCCATTCTAACTACCAATTTCAATTTTTTTTTTTTAATAATTATGTTATCATCTACGCGCACGCTCCCCGGCACACTCATCGACTCTCAGTCTCCTGTTACCGATTGATACGCCAAACGCATTTCACCGTCACCGTTTCAATTTTAAACCCACTGTTCTCTTAGAACGGCTTCTGCAGGTACATGAACATATCCTGGAGCGGCGACAGAAGATTATTACTCTCGAACTGGGAAGCAAACCCGGTATCCACAGATGCATCCATGTAATTATAAGGAAACTCAAGGGAATTGTTGTTGGTAGTTCCCCAGTCATTCCATTTGGGTTCGCTTTGAACCTCGCACGTGAACTCGGGAGACACCACATGTTCCGAACAGCTTGAGTCCGTGTGAAGCCGCGGGACCGACTCCGACGTGTCGAAGTACACGCAATCGTTAACCGTCGCTGTCGGAGCCTTAGGCAGCCCACACGTCCCCATGCCAAGAGCCACAATATCCGGCTTCTTGTCCACAATCTCCATGACGGTAGCTTTCATCGTAACGCTTCCTTGCGGTGGTTGCTTCTCGATGGCACCTTTCTTATTGTAAATCCGGCACAGCACCCAATCGTCTAACTGCAAAAAAGAAAAAAAAAAAAAAGCACCGTCATCTTTTGTCGAGATAAGAAGGAATATTTTCAATAATTGGAAAGTAATAATGGTTCGGTCGACCGTGACAACAATGTTCGGCCCACAGATTCACGGTCGCTAGGGAAAAACTAAAATCTGTTACGAATGTCGTGGGGTGATTATTGAATGTGTGTGAGGTGCAAATGCATTCAATGGACCGCACTGTATAGGACCACTTTTTTATCATGTGGGTCCCCTGATTCGGTGAAACTCCACCAAATCTGAAACAACGATGCATATCCACCACTTGATTGAAAATATCTTTTCTGAATCATAAGATCGGACAAGGTAAACCGGTCCTTAGACTAGTCACTTCACGGATCACGCCTTTTCTATGGCCGCCAATTCTGAAAATAGAAATAATAATAAAAACGATGGGCGGGATAATCCAGCTGGCAATTTCAAGACATGGACAAAAGGGTCATTTCGACCTCTATGTCCTAGTCTACCATCTATCATGAGACAATCTCCGGTTTACCCCACTAATATTTTGAACCAGTAAGGAGAAGTTTTTATACCCTTAAGCTGTTCTTTTTGCGAGCCGACCGGTCCACGTCAGCTAAGCGATACTCGTGCATAATCCAATTAGTTTTCTCTCCTTTAGGTGCTTTCCCAGCATAAAACACCAAAGCCTTCTTAATACCGAGCGGTTTCGGTTGCCCAATCGGCTTATCAGCTCCGGTTGCCTTCCAATACCCGGACCCAGCAGCCCGGTTCGGCCTTGAACCGTTGGGATATTTCCGGTCCCTCGGTGAAAAGAAATACCACTCTTTCTCTCCGTACAACGCCAAATCTGTAAATTCAAACCAAAACACAAAACAAATGAATACGCATTAAAAAGTGAAAAGGTTTTAGAGAGATTAAAGACAGTAGTAATAAAGTAAGACAGTTTACCAGGAAGGTCCCATGGATCGAATTTGTAAAGGTCGATTTCGGCGATAATAGGGACGGAGATTTGCTGCGACGCACATTTACAGCAGAGATAGTGCTTCACGAGCTCCTCATCCGACGGATGGAACCGAAAGCCTGGTGGTAATTGCAGCTGTGTTGCGGTCATTTTCTACCTTTCTAACTTTCAGATACTTTCACCCTCACCGATTTTTTTCCTTTAGCTTTCTTATTTTTCCCCTTTCTATGCGGTGACGGCGCTTGAAACTTAGAACTCAACGGGGAGCGAGAAATTTATAGAAAGAGGGACGGGACACGTGGTGGGAAGAGACGGTGGCTACTTCTGGATTCCACGTGGGTGATAAGGTTTTCGTTGGCTTTTTTGGAGAGAGGGTTGAAAGAGACACGTGGAGGACATGGAAGTGAAGTGCGTGCGTGTCGACTGCCCAAATGCGGGTGATTTTGTCACTGCTTACGACATTTGTTTTGGACTGAGGTGCCCCCAATCTGAACACACACAAGAATCCCAAATGGTCCTCCGGATTCGTGTGGAGTCGGCGTGGTTTTTTCTCCATTTTTCTTTATATTTTATTAAAAACAATTTTATATTCAAAATAAACTTTTTTATTATTCTAATTTTGTTTGGTTTTATTAACATTTGAGCCGACAGTTTAACGGTGGATAAGGATTACACGTCAGCTCTCGTGCGGTCATCACCATCAGTAGCTACTGTGACTCGGAAGCATACTCTGCTGCAAGTGTTTCAGTGTGTTTGAACTGTGTAAAGTTGGACGTGATCAACGGAAATACTATTACTAAAATAAAAATATAATTATAGTATTAGATTAGATTTTTAATGTGATAAATCTGAAAAAAGTTTAGTATTTTATAGATATACTCGTTTTCTTTACCCGCGCCAGGCACGGAATTTTTTTATTATATTTTTTATAGTATAAAATTTTAATTTATATTAATTTTTATATTATATATAAATAAATAAAAATATCATAACCATTTATAATTTGTAGTTTAAAATTAAAATAATTATCTATATATAAATTATTATGAAAAAATCTAAATAAGTATTATGAAAGTTTTAGATTATGAAAGTAAAATTATATATAAATATCAATGAGAAAGTTAATTTTTTATTTACAATTACATAAATTTTTTAAAAGTATATATTATTTTAATATAAAAACTAATATTTACACATTCGATATATTATGAAAGATTTTTTCATATTTAAGTTTAAAATTTTATCTTGTCAAATTTTTACGATAAAAAAAAGATTATGAGAAAAAATTATAAATATATATTTAATAATTATTTAATTAAAAAAATCTAAAGTTTTAAAAATTTAGTTTATCCAAATTTAATTTTAAATTAAGATAAAATAATTTATTATAATTTTAAATTTAGATATGTGTGTAATTTTAAATTGAGATAAAATATTTTTTTTATTTTAAATTATAAAAAAATAAAGATAAAAATTAATAAATAACAGTGATTTAGTCATAAATTTTATTAATTTAAATTTATACGAATATTAATTTAGACGGTGTATAATTATTAAGAATTTAACCTTTAAAAATTATTTGAATTAGATAAGAGCGAAATATGAAAATATATATTTTATTAGATTTAAATTAAGATAAATTTTCTATATTTGGAAAGATTTTGATAAATGTAAAATTTTAAATTTTTTAAAAATTAAATAATTGATTTAATAAAGTTATTTAAAAATATCTTATGTGTCAATAATATAAGTTATCCACCTAAACATACATATAAATAAATCTTATTAAATTTTTATGTATGTTATAATATAATATTATATATGATATGAAATATAATATAAACAATTTATTTTTAAAAAATTATTATATTTTAATGATCATATCACCAATGTACAAGTATTTATCCAATTAGTATAAAAAAAGAAAATTAAGCCAAAAATATATTTTCTATTTTATCCCTTCTTTATTCTCTTTACTATTTCCAGAAAATTTCATAATAAGTCACTTAATTTATAATCAAATTCTTTTCCATTCATTGAAATTTAATTTATTTCATTTAAGTTAATAAAGTTTGTAAGTATTGTAGACACCCAATTGGGTCCGGGCCCAGATCAATTGAGCCTGGCCCAAATGGGTAAGGCCCATTTCAATTCTGTATTTTTTTTTTCTTTTCTTTTTCCTCTTTTGTATTTTATGTATTTTATTATTATTATTATTATTATTATTATTATTATGTATATCTTTGTGTATTTATTTTTATTTAGATTAGATTTATATGTATTGTATGTATATAGTTATATATTTATTATTATTATTATTATTATTATTATTATTATTTTTTGTAATATATTTTTGGGTTTATCTTATGTTATTTTTTTTTATTATCTGTTAATTTTATCTGATTTTTTTTTCTGAATTATCTGATATTATTTTTTTTTATTTTATTTTTATACTATCATATCTTTTGATTATCTAGTATTTTTTTATTTATTTATTTTGATTTTAATTCTGGATGGCTAAGATTCAAAGTTGAAGAATCCCACTCTGGAGGGGAATTCAATCAGAAGAGTCCAGTTGGATTCAAAGACTGAATTCCCGTCCAAAGAGGAATTGGGATTGATCAGGAACTCCTGATCAATCCCTATAAAAGGGACTCTGGAACAGAATGCAAAACAGAGAGAAAACAGTGAGCAAAGCTACTGATTGAGAGAAAAAGGCGTATAGGAAGCTAGGAAAGGTTTAGGAGTGTTCTGAGAGTGAGGAGAATTTTTTCTAGAAATTTTGGCGAAAAATTTTTCTGGAAATTTCTGGGAAATTTCCAGATTCCGGCGAAAATTTCGGCGAAACTTGAATTTTTCGGCTACAATTCCGGCCAACTTTGAAGTTTCCGGCGAATAATCCCAGAAACCGGCCATCTTCCGGCCAACTTCCGGCGAAATTTCCAGATTCCGGCGAAAATTTCCAGAATCTGGCACCGGTGTTCTTCAGTTTTTAGAGAGAAGGGAGAGAAAAAGGGAAGAAGAGAGAGAGAGAGGAGCGTTCTGCCGAAAAAACGAAGGGGATTGCCTTTTATACCCTCCCAAAACGACGTCGTTTTGGCCTTAAGTAACCCAGAGGATCCGCGCGTTTTGCCGAACCCGACCCGACCCGAGCGTCGACCCGCTTTCTGACCCGCGCGTGCCAGCCCCCTCCGAGCCGAGCCGAGCCGAGCCAAGCCGCCAAGCCGCTCCCCCGAGCCGTTTTCTCTTCCTTGAGCCGAGCCGAGCCGAGCCGCGATCCGAGCCGCTCCAGGTTTTTTTTTTTTTTTTTTTTTTGATTTCTTTGTTTATTTGTTTATTTATTTTTATTTATTAGATTAGGTTTATGTAATATTCTTTTTATTTATTTTTATTATTTTATTTTTTCTTTAAATAAAAATAAAAATTCCAAAAAAATATATTTTTAGGGAAAAGTTGAAAGTATCAATTTTCCTTAGAAATAAATTTCCAAAAAATATTTTTGGGGAAAAGTTGAAAGTATCAATTTTCAGAAATAAATTTCAAAAAAAAATATTTTTAGGGAAAAGTTGAAAGTATCAATTTTCCTTAGAAATAAATTTCCAAAAAATATTTTTAGGGAAAAGTTGAAAGTATCAATTTTCCTTAGAAATAAATTTCAAAAAAAATATTTTTAGGGAAAAGTTGAAAGTATCAATTTTCCTTAGAATAAATTTCAAAAAATATTTTTAGGGAAAAGTTGAAAGTATCAATTTTCCTTAGAAATAAATTTCAAAAAAAATATTTTTGGGAAAAGTTGAAAGTATCAATTTTCCTTGAAAATAAATTTCAAAAAAATATTTTTGGGAAAAGTTGAAAGTATCAATTTTCCTTAGAAATAAATTTTCAAAAAAATTTTTGAGGAAAAGTTGAAAGTATCAATTTTCCTTGAAAATCAAAATTTTCAAAAAATATTTTTGGGGAAAAGTTGAAAATATCAATTTTCCCTACAAAAAAAATCATTCTTTCCTTCCTTTCTATCTTAATTTTGATTTTATTTTTTTTCTTTTAAATAATCCGACGACGGAGCCTCTGTAAGTGAAACAGTAGTTTTTCTTGCATACTCCTGAGGTGAGGGAATGTTCTCAATTTTCTGCTAAAAGTATTAGAGTCAATTGAGAATAATTTTCAATAATTAATTACTTGGTGAAATTTTAAGGCTTTTGGATAACACAAATTTAAGCTGGTACCATCTTTTGATGGGCGTTGTGAGGGTGCTATAACCTTCCTCACACGTAACCGAACTCCCGAACCCTGTTCTGGTTAGCAGACCTGAACCTATTCTTTTAGGGACCCTTAAGCTTAGGTGTTCCCTAAAAGGACAGATTCTTTAGGTGGCCAATCGCACCTAGACAAAAAAGATTGGTGGCGACTCCCTAAAGTCAATATCTAGCGATAGATCCCCGGATCTAGACGTTATGACAGCTTGACGACTCCACTGGGGACCTTGAGAGTCAGGCCAGCAAATAATCTGTGTTATCCAAAAGCCTAATAAAATTGAACCTTTTTGTATATATGTGTATTATTCATTCATGTTTTATTTACCTGTTAATTATGTCATTCATGTGCATGTGCATAACATGAGCTCTACACCCGAGCTCTGTCCCTTTAGGAGGGAGTAAAGTACCTATTACTTTCGTGAGGTCTAATGCCTCCGTAGTGGCTAGCGAAATACTCCCACTCAAATTGAACCTTTTTCGCTTGTAGCCTGTAATGGGTGAGGATTAGGGTGCCTTACTAGTCTGTGATGGACAAGGATGTAAGGAACAATTTGAGGACCTTTAGACTCTGACTTTAAAACCACATGTAGTGAACCTTAAGAGTGCCTACACCTAGGATAGAGCCCTTTCTACCCAATGATAGATATACCCTGAAATTAAGACACAAAAGGGTGTTTATCTAATCATTTTGATTGCTTAACTTTGTGTATTATTTTTATCATATGTAACACTGTGCATCAGCATCACTTTCATTTCATCCATGGAACTAACTATGTTGTTTGTCTGATTGTATGCATCTGTATTATTTTCATGATCATGTTTTAACATAATCATTTGCATTCATTTCATACTAGATTTCATTCAAAAAAATGTACATTTCATTTGTGTATCAAAGCATCATATATAAAGCATAGCATAACATTTCTAATCATAAATATGGTACTCAAGATCCAAGGATAGCTCCGTCTAGCGAGAACCCTGCTCATCCATACAACACAAGATCCAGAGCAA